CAATACTAAAGCACTTCTTTCACTGCCACTGAGGCCAACATGAGACCACATGCTAGTGTAGTGGAACTTCAGAGAGCCGACCTTGAAGAAGGTAAACGGAAGTAAATCCCAGCGCAACATCACTCACCTCTTTCACCGAGGCAAGCCTTTTCTTGTTGCAGTTGTTGTTATGTTGTGAGCCTGAAATAGCTGCTGCCTTTATCTCCCCACGGTAAGACTTTGCTTTTCAGACTTTACTCCAAAGGATGCTCTGTAAGGTCAAAGGGTTGAGGAGAAAGAGGCTTATGATCTGCAGAGGCCCCTGACAAAGCTCAGAGGGTCTTTAGCTGGCTAGTGGAGGTTAGCTTGTTAGTGTTTCCTTGTTTCAGGGTTTAATTCTGTCTCCTGAAGCTACTGCTAGCACTTAATCATATCTGCCTAGACTTTTTACACACTTGCATAAATGGTAACCATTTACATGTCATGGAGAAACTAAGCTATTAGCTAATTGCACATATATTAGTATCAGTAGATTTTTTTTTAACCTCTGTATTATCTATGTACTTGATGCCTTCCAGTTGATATTTCCTACTTCCAACCTCCAAATGTTCCAGGTACTAAACACTAATACAAAATAACGTTTATGTTGCAACTGCACACACAATTGGAGTCCATGCAGACCCATTTGTGTACTTCCAAAAAAACCAAAATAATGAGGTAACAGATGCCATCGCATATTTTATTTTAAGGCAAAACAAATTATAATATATATATATTCTGACCACCCTCAAAAAATACTGAAAGATATTATTTAATGAGAAAAACAAAGAAAGGAAAGCCACACATTGACAAGTTGTCATGATTTATTTTCATCTCATTATTTCAATTATCAAAGCTATGCTTGTTTGTAATGTTCCTGTTAATAAAGATGCCTCACTAAAACAGGTTTGAGCTGACTTCCACAAACGCTCATTAATACCGAGGTAACTTTAACTTCCCTTTTCCCAACTGTCTCCTTTGTCTCCACCTACTTGCCCTCTCTCTCCCTCTCTGTCTACCTACCTTTCTCTCTCATTCGGTCTCTCAAGCGCCCCGGCAACCTTCTCAGAGGGATTGGTTGCCAGGAGACAGGATTCTCTCCCCATTGTATGCCGACAAAGGTAGAGGGGGTGGGCTGCGGGGTTACAATCAGCGGGACCGGAGAGAATCGTAGGCCTTGGGGGACTGGCACTCCACAATCATGGGTGTGTTGGAGAAGAGGAGGACAGGCAGGCACGGAGGGGTGGGGGGTTGAGTGAGTGAATGGCAGTGGGGGTATTGGGTGGAGCACGCTGACACCCTAAATTCCTCTTGTTCATTCCCAGTGTCCCAGTAACCATGCTGGGATGTGCTGTGTCAGACAGCGTGGGGGAGACGGGAGGGAAAGAGACCATGCCATGAATTGTTATTAAGAGAGACTTTTTAATTAGCTAGCGTGCCCTCCCCCCACTGCTCGGCTTTCCCACTACGTTGACACACACAGACACATACAGTGGCACACATTCTTACTACAGTAGACACTGAGCTCAAGGAAGTTGTGTATGTGTCTGCTGTCCATGCTTGACTGCATTTATCAACGGTCTATTTCTTATTGTTTTCCTTGGACTGTAATGATGGTCTCTTATCAGTCGATTATATTACCTTGAAGCAACAAGGCCAGTTCACTTTAGCTGTGGTGGCATTTCTCCAAATATAGACTGACAGTCACCCTATACAAGCCAGTAATTATATGGAGCACAATCTCACCGTAGCAGAGACTTTGAGGTCAGTAAGATCATTTCTGTTCCGAGTCACATAGTCACTGATTAACACTGAGCTGACTTTTACAGGTTACAGGGTTATTTTGTTGTTGGCCGTGAGAAGCTAGGGGCAGCGGGCTAGCGGGTCAGGTATGTTTTTGATTAGGGCTATTATTTTTAATTGGTCATGAAAAGCTTGGTGAATATTAAGGCCCTAGAACCAATTTCCGAATCATCTTTCTGCTTTGAGTTATGGGGTCCTATGAGAACATAGTTGTCTGCCAAGCTTCCTTTTCTCGTATAACTAATGTGACACCTTTGTGTCGATGGCAGCCAAGTGGGCTTACCTGGTCGCATAATCTTCACCGTGACTCAATTCTCTTCTTCGTGTCCTGTTTACAGACCTCATTTTATTGGCATTTAATTAAAAATGATTATTTTGACTAAGCTTGTCTCTCAGTTGTAGTGATTGTACACAAAGTGTAAACATGTGCCCCTTTTTCTTTAGGATCCTTTTTGTATAGTTTGATGTTTTTGCTCATTTGTAACACACCTTCAATATTTCTCTTCAAAATTAAATAAGCTTAATAGGTAACAGTCATAGTTAAAGTAAATATATTAAGAGTGTGACTTAAACAAGATTAGGACCAAACAAGTGAATATAGATGGGGCCAAAAGTAAAACATGTCTCTTAAATAACCAAAACTGTTCAAACTTTGGCAAAACATTTAAGTTTACAGCTGGAGGTCTCCATCACTCAGTGAAAGTAGGTGTTTATTTTCATGGCTTGAACATCTGCCTTGCTATCATTTCAGATGAACTTTGGCTTTAAATAAAGCTACACTATCATCTCATTTGCATTCACCACAGTTCCTCTCCACAACTTTAAATGAGCAGCAGCTGGATTAAATAGGTTTATAGTTTCCTGTTTATGTGGAATTAACCTTTGGGTTCCACTCTTGGTGGGTTTGTATATTTGCCTTGGCACTGCTGTCACCTGAACCACTACACTGGCAAGTTTATAAGCCGTTTGCCAGTGGGAGGGATGATCTCCTGAAATGGCACTTTTTTCCCATTTGTGTAGCGCTGAATGGAAGAGGCCTCTGGCTGAACTGTAATTCAGCAAATGCCTTCTAAGGCCTCAGAGGTCTGTCATTGATTTAACAGCTACATCAAACACTATCCTTTATTGCTCGTCAGAGAAACCAGTCCCTCTGTTCCAGATGAATACTTTCTGTTTCTCACAGAATGCCATTTTCTCCCCTTTCTAAGCAACTTTGAGAAATGCCCCCGTCCTATGTTAGGGCTTGATGAATTGACACAGCTTTCCATCATGCAGATGCCAAGCTGTGTATCTGCTTTGACAGTGATAGACACATATCTCGGTTCTCTCTATATTGCTCCCTGTTTTTCTCTTGCTTCTGCTGAAGGCGATGGATAACTCCCATCAATGGCATCTGTCAAAAGCTGTGGGCTGAAACGACCAGCTGCAACACCGACAGATAGGGAATACAACTATGCTAGTGCTGTGCAACCACATCTAGTGCTTACAGGCTACAATAATGGTGGGTGTGACTGCGACTGTCACTCTCTATATGTGCCTAAAGCTTTGTGGTGTATTTTCATACAGTTGATGCCACAGCCCAGAAGTAAAAGAGGTTTGAGGCTGAATAAGCTGATGGACATTTGATGCGGCATGGACCTCAACCTGTTGCTCACACCCTCCTTACCCTAAGGGGCCACAATCTAGAACATTCAGCGAGCAACTTCCTCTTTGTTGTAGAGCCGCATTCTTGTCACCTTAACCTCTCTTATACTGTTTGTACATTTGATTGAGAGCAGTTGGCTGGGTTGGAAGACAGATGTGAAGGCCAATTAAAAGCCTTAGTACAAATTATCTTCTGTACAACACACATTTCACAACGCTCTTAGATCCTTTTGTGGTTGTGTAGATGCGGGGACTCCTGTTTGTTTGAGGTGAAATTAAACCTTCCCAGGAAGGAAAAAGAGAGGTTAACAAAATGTTTTACAGTTCCTCGGTTTGGATCCAGTTCCACCAATTATCTCTGATTCAGCTCCATCTGTCGGTTACTGTGAAAGTGGTGTAATGAGATGCAGATGAAGCTAAGAAAACGCTCCGTTTAAGATGGCGTGAACATTTCTCCTATTATCAGAAGAAAATGTGTAGTTACACATGTTTGGTGTCATTTGGAGGACGTGATAAGTATTTGTGACACACATGTTTTTGGCATCAACATATTGTGGTGTTTTCATATATTTATATATTTTTTTAAGCTGTGCTCCCCCCACTTGCTGACTGGAAGGTGGCAGGCTGTCAGAAGGATTTTAATGAGTCGAGGCAGCATGTGACATCTCCATTCTCTATGGACTGTGTTCCATGCTGCAGCTTAAAAATCTCTTATTGAATGGAGAATCTTAACCCAGTTCATGTCACCAGGAGATGATGTTTATTCGTTCTAAGAATAAATGCTTAAGTCTGCTCCAGTTTGGTGAGGGGTTACAGCAGGGCTTCTCAAACTCCGGCCCGAACTACAAATCAATCCGGACCGAACCCTGTGTCCCATTATAAAAAAAAATAAAAATACTTTGCTGGCATTGATCCGGACCAGTGACCTTGTATAAAATTCACAAGTGGACCTTTTTAATAAAAGTTTGAGTACCCCTAGGTTACAGTTTAATTGTTGTATCATTATTATCACCCTTGCTACGGCTAAGCTCTGTTGTCATCTATTGATAGTTTCTTCTTTTTACCTTGTGATTTACATTATGCATATTTTAAGAGTTACTTCTCAGATGAGTTGTAGCCATGAGTTGACACATTCCCAGCATCAAAACATTTCACTGCTGTGCTGACAGAATATGTCTCTGTAACGCAAGTCACCACTAACAATCAGATTGTGTTGAAGTCTATGAAAAAACTTCTCATTTGATTTATTACATCAGTAAACATTTTCAGAATTCATTTATGGTTTTAATCGTTAATTTCAAGTCGTCTTAAATACAGCATGATGTTCATTTTTTTTAAATGATGTTTACAGCATTTGAAGTAAAATAGACGATAGAACTGGGTATGCTTGAGGGTGATGATACCTTGTGGTTGACAATTCGCTACTCAATTTGATAACAGTGCGAAAAAGCTCTGTTTTACTGGCTTGCTATGCCAGTTGTTTTATTGTTGATGCATGTTGCAAGGCATTGATTTTTGTCTTTTTGTTTGTCCAGGTTTGGCGTCTGGTGTGGAGATAACATCCTCTGGGCCAACATCGATAGAGAAAGCCAGCGGTCAGAGTGTGAAGCTGGACTGCCAGTTCAATCTGGACTCTGTTGATACTGGACCGCTGGATATTGAATGGAGCTTGATCTCCAATGACAACCAGAAGGAAGACAAAGTGGTATGTGTGGATGTTCTCCTAAAACATTGATAATAAAATGTTATTTCAAAGACAACACATGAAAGTTAAGGATCACTAGATCGTATATCAGGGTTATATATTGAGGGTTGAGGAGCATCCATTACTTTTCATTGGAATTATAATTTCTTTATCTTTCAAAACACAGATTAAATCTTGCAAAACTGTTGCACTTACATTTATTTTTGATTGTTGAGTGGTGCTGACCAATCCAAAATGCTGCTTAAAGATCTGTGATAAGGTTTGAATAAAGAATCAGCAGTGTCAAGTTCTGTTTCCTTTACTGGAGTACAATATTGACTTTACAGTGTGAGCATTGTGTTTTCTTAGATAGCTAGTTTAAGTGAAGTAAAACCATTCAATATATAATGGCTTAGTTGATAATGGGTGGGGAAAAGGCGGTATTGGTATTGGACAAGCGGTGTCGAGCCAATATTTGTTTAGCTAGGTAGCTGATGGGATCTTTTCCAAGCTAAATTCCGTACGCAGCTTTAGAAAATATTTCCTCCTAAAAAAACAGAAACCAGATTATTTTTTTCCTTTAGACTTTAAAAGTCCCCAATTTGTCTGCAGTCTGTTTGGTTTCACACTAACCCTGGTGTGGTTTGGTATGTTGTGCGGGAGGTGAAATGCAATTTGAGCCACGTGCACTACTATTGAGCATTTGTTGTCTGCGGTGTTCTCACAGAAGCATAGTAGGAGCAATGGGAGCTCTTTTTATCCCAGGCAGTGTCTTTCCTTCCTTTCCAGCATGCCCCTCAGCAATGGAAGGGAGGACTACACATCTCTGTAGGACCTCCACATGCCCTCAGGGCTTCCACAGCCATAGAGACGGATCCTTGCTAACGTTCCAGCAGTGTGATCCTCTCCCCTGGCTCACTACTCCCCCACCCCCCCACCTGTCACAAAGCCTTCTCATCCCTACCCTCCACTCTCATTTTTCCCTGTTTCCCGTGGCTTTAAGTTTTTTTTGGCTTGAATGTTAGAAATAGGTCCACAGGCTCATCATTAGGTTTCCCCTGTCTCTGTCATCCATCCACTATCATCACTGTCCACTGACAGACCTCTGTACCCCGGCGTCTGCTCTTGAGCTATTATCTGAGACTCCAATTGCTCCATCTATTTGTTCTTGACCTACTTAGTTTTTACTGTAAATCATTTACTAGAGCAATGGAGAAAAGGCAGGTGCAGTTAAACAGTAATCAATATTTTTTTTTCTCAATATATAATTCGCTTTCAGGAAGAGATATTGATTTCAGTGCTTTTATACATTTTATTATTTTTTCATTGTTCAAGATTGAAGATATTTATTGTCATATTCACAGGTAAACAGACAGTTACACCGTACAATGAAAATCTTACTTTGCTAGTCCAGTAAAATACAGGAATATAAAAGAAAGAAAATACTTAGAAACAAATAAGTTTGGCACACGGCAACAGCAGCATAAAAGTGCACATAAGTAGCAGCAGTTTAAAGATATTTAAATAGTATATAAATGTTGTATTGCACATGGTTCACAGTGTATAACATATTGCACTGCAGACAATGCACTATGCATTGTTTAAAGTATGGTAGTGCAAATGGTGAGTGTCAGTGTGTCTGTGTAGCACTCACAGTTTCAATCAGTGTGTTTGTGGGGGGGGGGTAGCATGTTCATCAGCCTAATGGCCTGTGGGTAGAAACTGTTTGTCAGTCTCGTGGTCCTGGATTTCAGACTCCTGTAGCGCCTGCCTGATGGCAGGAGAGTAAAGCGTCTGTGCTGGGGGTGTGTACTGTCCCTGATGATGTTGTGTGCTCTCCTGGTGACCCTGGTGGTGTAAATGTCCTGAAGTGAGGCTGGGTCCCCTTTCGCGCCCCATCCCCCTAACGTGAATGCAGCTGTAGAAATATATCAAATGTTACCTAACTGCATCTGGTTCCACAGTTTATTTTCTTTATTACGTGCCATTCTGCTGCATTCTTCTCTGCACTCCAATCAATATTGCCAAACCTTTGCAGGAATGTAAGCAGTCCAGACATCTCTCTCTGAACGCATTAGTTCTCCTTGACCTGTCAGATTTTCCTCGCTATATTCACACACGCTAAATATGATGTCATGCACACTTTAAACTCTTTGTAATTAGCGGAACATTAGTTCCTGGGTCTGCTTTAATATATGTGACAATGTTAAATAGGATTATGAAGATCTGCAAGGACCTGTGCTACTAGGTCAGTCAAGGAGATGAGAATGAAGTGTAAACTTTATAGCCGGAGGCTCCCAGATGTTCAGAGACCATGGTGAACCTCTGCTCACATGGCTCGGGATTCAGGCTGCTCTTAAAGGAACACCAACTATCGGATCAAACATTAAAGTGCGAAGCTACTTAACAGGATCAGTAGATGCTCATACCACTGGGAACTTGAGGCCTGGTTTTGCAAGCTGGTAGGTTGGTTGGGTGGTGTTGCATTGATGCAATGAGAAGCAATGCCACAGCATTCAATCTCCTTCATCTGACGTATCCCACATGTCATCAGGGTCCGGGTGGTGATGCGTAGTTAATGTGTTGCTTTGTTGGGCTTAAATGAGAGATGCCAGGCATGCCTACAGTAACAGTCATTTGCATTTGGCTCCCAGTGCTTGGCTACAGATGAACTGAAAGGAGGGTGTACCCTGAGTGCTCGCCACAACCACAATGAGGGAAACAATTATGAAAACTAAATCTGAATGGTTTGAATAGGAGAGGAATTTGCTCGGTGGAAAACATTGGAAACACATAGCTTTATCCTCCATCACACAAACCGTCTCCTTTGTCCTTGGGCAGAGCAGCAGAGCCTTCTGTTTTTACTGAACTTATTGCGACAGGAATTTGTGCATGTTTACAAAGTATCGGAGGATTTGGATGTAAAGCCATGACACAGTTTGGTGAAGATTGTATTGTTTGTGTGTATATCAGTGATTATTGTGAATGCCGATCTCTAGCGCCCTAATGCTGAAGGACATGTGACAAATGTTCAGGTAGTAATTCTGTCATAACTTGTGAATCACTTTGGAGCAGAGCTGTTCATGTGAAAGCAGCACTTCGAGTCATCCCAGTTAAAAGCCTCAGCGGGAACACAGAGACACGAGGCTGCACTCCCGGAGCTTTGCAGGTTGTTTAGAGTACACATGTAACACAGCTCTCTGCTTTGCTCTCAAATGATCTGCACCTCTTTCCTGCGCGAGCATCACATGACAATGACCTCACTGGTACATGTGTCTGATGAAACTAAGCCTGTTACCTCTGCAGCATGATCCATCCGCTGAGAATGGCCAGGTGGTGATTGTATCATTGAATGTCCTACCTGTTATGAAAGGCATCGCACACACACAGTGGTGCTCTTCTGTCCTCCCCAGCCCCCTGCCAGCTTGTCTAGTCATTTGCCCTTTTCATTTTCATTCCCCGGGCTCTTTATGGAATTTTTCTTTTTCATTGGATCATGATTCTCAAGGTTATTATGCAGTTCAGATTTTTTTAGCTAGGGGTGTGCATGTGTATAAGCACTCCCATCTGCGTGCCTGTAAAGTGGTGGAGCTCAAGTGAGACTTCTTGTCTGGCTGAGCTTGGGGCAATTTAATTTCCTCTTCTCCGTGGTCTCATATTGCTGTTATTACTGCCGATGTTCTGATCCCCCGTGAAGCTAGAAGGATACGTTTCCCTCCCCGGAGAGCCAGGTGGAATTTTAACTACATTACCTGTTTACATGGCTAATATGGACAAGATGAACATGGCGGCCATTGTGAGCACTCTTGCCTTCGAGCTACAGGAACTAGGCTTCAAGTTGGAAATGTTGCAGAGAGGCAACTTGCTGTAATCACACCAGAAAATCCATGAGTCTGTTTCCCTTTTTTGTTTTGCTCCTCTCGTGCTTCCTTTAAATGTTCTGCCTCCTCTGATGGGTTAATTATTCTTCCTCTCCTCCTGCCATGTTTAGTTTTTCCTCTCTGCTCCTCTCCACCCAGGGGTATTGCTGCTGTGCGTATGCCTGGCATTGATCGTGGCACAGAAAAGCCTGTTGATGACTGTCTCCATGGAAATGTGGAAGAATATGCCAGTGTCTAAGAAAGAGAATGAGATCTCTTTTCATTGTCGTTTGCTTTTCTTTTACCCTCCTTGTGTTTTATTTTCCCCCTCCTCCATCACCCCAGCTAGGAACATTCTCTTTCGCTCCACCTGGCCTTTATTTGTAGGCATTTCCTTGCTGATCTTAATACCCAGACTGTGGGATTGGGGGTGGGGGGCTACAGAATTAGGGGCTACTTCTCTTTGTTGACACAGCAGGTGTTGACTTGGCTCCAAAGCGGTTACTTTGTTTGTTCCACCTTCATACAGAAAGGGCAGAGCAGCACATATTGCTGAAGGGCACCGCGGAGATAAATGGAAGGGGCTTTCTCTCTTAAATACATTTTGACTGGTTCAGTGAGCAAGTCCTTAACTTCCAGGAAGGTGCTCCAAGGCCTTTGTTTTATATTTGACTAGAATGTGTTTTCACGCACAGGCACAGCAGTACATCACTCTTAAGTATGTTAAGATTTTCAGTCTTTCCCTGCACTCTCTTTCTTTCCAGGTGATCCTGTACGCCGGTGACCGGTCCTACGACGACTACTTTGCCCAAATGAAGGGTCGAGTCCACTTCAACTCTGCCGACCCTAAGAACGGCGATGCCTCCATCAACCTGACAGGGTTAAAGTCGGTGGACTCGGGAACCTACCAGTGTAAGGTGAAGAAGGCTCCGGGTATCCGCAGCCGGAGGATGCTGCTGATCGTCATGGGTGAGTGGAAGCAACCTCTCCGCACACTCTGGTGTCACCCCCTGATCCCACCGGAAGCGTCTGCGCTGCGGCTGCGCCGCACTGCGACTGCGCCGCACTGCGACCTCCTCCTGCGTCCTAACCCACCAGGCGCGTTTCAAAACGTTGCGGAAGCGGAGCGTCGTGTGTGCAGCCTCGCAGTTGTTGGATGAACATTCCACTTCCTGCCTGCGCTGCGCTGCGCCACGTCAAAAATAGGATTCATCCTATATTTTAGAAATTCCTTGCGGCGAGGAGCTTCTGGGACGCTTCGAGCCGCAGCGCGGCGCAGCGGGTCTGGTGGAATAGCACCCATTGACTAGAGTGGCCGCGATCGCTAAAAACGCCGCAGCGCAGACGCTCCTGGTGGGATTAGGGGGTTAGGCTGCCAGTCTTTGTGTCTCACAGGGTGAACTCTTTCTCTCTACACAGAGGAAACGCACCAAATCACACGGCCTTTGCCCTCCTTGGCTGTTTGATGTAATCCCTTCTAAAATGTGCATGACCTTCCTGTAGGCTGTAGAGCATCGCCCCCTTTGTGATACAGTTCTATATTTATCCTAGATGCTCTGTAATTATGTGTAACATGATAATCCGTATTCATCTTTTCACTATATGTTACGGACAGGATTTATAATTTATTCCTCTATTTCTATTAAGTCTTAGTCTCCATTATTGCAGTTAGTGGTTTGCTTTTTTATTTAACAAAAGCTCCCATTTGAATTGAATTCAATTATTGTTGTTAGCTTGCAAATATAAGATTTTAATATAAGATTTATTCTATGATATTAACCCCGAAAACAATTACTGTTTTCAGGGATGTTTACATATTTATTGTTCATTTGGAAATGGTAACAGTACAGGAAAAGGTAATTAAACAAATAATCTTGAACATCACAAATCATTTTCAAAGTGTAAGTAATCCCGTCTTTTAAAAAATGGGAACAAACCTCAGAAATGGAATCTATGCAGTCGGCTGTCTTTTTATTGCACAGGGTGAGACGGGTGACACATCCCAGTTGTATAAGTCGGATGATTCACTCCTTAGGCAAACACACGCTCGCACACAGTGGCCTTGCTGGTCGGTCAACTGACTAAATGATGTGGAAAGTGAATCGCCTCCCGAAACCAGGCTGCTATTTGCATATGGGAAAAACAACCCACATGCGCTGCACCAGTCTCTGTTGTGGGATAAGCTGCATATTGTGCTGTTATCGCAGCACTGTTATCAGAATAGTTCCTCCTTTCCAAAGATAGGCCGGGCTTCAGAAAATGGCTGCTCATATTGTTGACATGTTATCATGTGCACAAAAAAGGCACTGCACCAACTAGCTCAACCAGAAAGACGAGCTTCTTTTAAGTTGTGTTGTGGTTCCACTAAGCACTAAGATGAATGACCACAGATAATCTGACATTTAACTGTGACCGCAGCTGACACGGCAAGCACTGATAAGCACTGATAAGCCTTTGGGGAGGCTATTTCAAATAAAAATGGATCCAACCAGAAGCAAGTTGGAAAAAATAATTACTGCTTAAGTCATCGCTGATTCAAACATATGCTCTGAAATGTGCTGTGACGGCTTCTCCTCCCTACCACAGTTCCGCATTCCTCGCCACTGAGAGAGGTTAGCAAGCTGCTCATTATAAATCTCATCCAAAAAGAAAGTATCATTGTTCAGTTGCAATGTAATATCATGCTCAAGCAGTTATATGCTATATATGTGATATCCATTGTTGATACATTTGTGGCATTTCACAATTGTTTCAAGTTTCTGTGGTAGTTTTTGTTTATTTCTTTGCTTGCAGTTCCTGCAGTCAAAATGTTTGTAGTTTCTTGAATTCGTTGTCTTAGTAGTTTGTGCTTTAAATAATTTGTCGATCATATCCAAGAGCATCAGCTAAGGGACTTAAATGCGTATCCCACTTTCATTATAGTTTTAATGCTGATGCTAACAGCCATAGCGTGCATGTGTGTGCATGAGAGAGAGAGAGAGAGAGAGAGAGAGAGAGATAGCTCGAGGCTACACAAGCTGACAGCCTTCTAGCTATTGACCCAAGGGGCAGGGGTGGGTTTAGCAGAGAAACATTGACAAGGAGAGGGAAGGACATCTTGCCTGCCCTGCATTTTACCTTCAGGTCGATCTTGTCACAAGGTGGATGGTCCCGAGATACGCATGCACATGTGTGCACACACATAAACACACTTCACTTTATACACTGCTTGTTGCTGTGGCTTGTCACAAATACGGCTGTATGCACACATGCTGCCACCTGCAGTGCACTTGGTGACCAGGTATTGCGCAGTGGGTAGCCCTTGTTGTGTATTCTCCTCTGGTTGCCCCGGGACATTGAAGTTAACGTGAGGAGAATACCCACCTGCAGTCCAGCACTGCACGTCAGCAACTCTCAACTCCTTCCAACTGATACTGACTAGACCTCACATTAGGTCGGGTAATATGGCTTGTAAATATTTCTTTCTATTTTGTAGATGTAAAGCTATTAACGATATGCATCTTAATATTTTTTCAATTTTTCTTTAAAATAACCAAAGCGTTTTATATCTAAATGTTTAATGCGTATGATCATACCAGCATGATCTTTCTAGAAAAGGAATCTGAACACTCTGCAGGGGTGCACTGTCAATTTGATGCCAGAATGGTCTTTGGTAATGTTCTAATGATGAGATTGATTATTGAACTCTTCTGGGAAATAACGTTTCAGGCATTATTTAAAAAAACATTGTGAAACTTGAGTCCTTTTGATTGCTTGTTAACCCGAAGCCACTTTTATCATCATTTTTAGTATTTTCGTGCTGAGTATATGCAAGCAAACCAATGTATATAATATAACCAATAATTACCCTTCAATTATCATATATGTGTATCATACGTATAGCCATTTTATTCTAAGTGGAGTTGGCAACTTCCATTACCGTTTCTGACCTCAATATGAAACCAAAAATTAGCTTGGCACTTCACTTCGCTCTCTTCAGGCGCTTGAAGAGCAGCCAGAGAAGCAAAAAAAAACCAAGTGCAATTCCAACGGTTTAAATGACGTGATATATTTATACTTGATGTTCATGTGCTAAAACCCACATACAACATGCCGCAATACAGCGATTATAATCAATATATTGCTCGACCCTAACCCCCCATGCATTCAGCAGCCAATCATAGTGCTCTGCATGCTTGATGGTCAGGCATTCCTCATCACATTCAGTATCTCGCTGTAAAGCTCAAAAGCCAATCTCTTTCATTCATCCTGCCTGGCTTTAGTACCCACTAATCGCTTATACTTCACTTTACCATTCAACTAACAGTTGTCAGTTGTGTGTCTCCTCTTGACTGCGATGAATGCCACAATCTAGCAATCCCTTTCTACTTATCTCCTCCACAAGATAGCCTTGTGCAACTCATAAATCTGAATTAATTGTTTGTATAATAGAGCCAGGTTAGCTGTATCGCGCTGCCCTTTATCTCTCTGTGCTCCTCCAGCCTTCATCACCTTCTTCTTTGACCTCATCTTTTACAAAAATAAATCTGCTCATCGGACAGCAGTCCTAATAAGAGAAGCTGTGTGTTACAGCCCTCGGACGTGTTGAGTCGAGTTGACTTTCACCTTTTAAAAGATGCATTCAAAATGTCATAGCTCTCTTGACATTTACAGTGTGAATGTGTGTGTGTAGGTGCAACACAGCGGCAGCAAAAGCAGGCCCGTGAGTTAGGAGCTGCATAGCCTTGGCCCCCATCACTCCGCCATCTGTCCGTCAATGCTCGCTTAATTCTTGCACTCCCCAGCTCTCTGTTTTGCCCCCTCCGCCCTGACCCCCTGTGTGTTTATTAGATTAGCAGGAGCGCTGAGTGCTGTCAGTCTACTGTTAATCCTCAAGTTTATACCTGCTAAGCTTCCCACCCACATGACACCTGGTTTAGATGTGGGGAGCACCACATCAGGGTTCTGTTGTTACACGACCCACCATTACCACACCAAGATGTCAGCCTTCTGTCAGCGAACACACAACACAGACTTGGAGAAACATTACCTCTCATAGTCCCTTTCTCTTTTCTCCCCCTCCCCCTTTCTCGGCTGGCTGACTGTGTGTCTGGGTTTCATTGGAGTCGGCCTGCTTTTAATTTGAAGTGCTGTTTGTTTTTGAATCCCCCATCTCATCTCCTGCCAGCGCTCTGACTGGCCAAGGAGTGTTTGCACACGTTTGGCTTCAAGACAGAAAGCTTTGCCTCCATCCTAAACCCTGAAGGCTATGTGCACGTGTGTTTGTGTGTCCAATGGCACACGGCTCCCTTGTTCCCTCATGATTATCCTGAGTGACAGCTCCTGTAATGACAGCAGCTGTATCAATTACTCTGATTACGGCTCTAATTATGATAATGATTGCTACTTCGAGCTAGGGAGGAAATGAACTTTTCGGAATACACAATACACATGCACAACTTGCCCACAACATGAAAGATTGAAAAAAACACGGTTGTACTCAGGAGGGCTGTTTATAATGCTGCCACCTGGTTGTTGTTGTTATTATTTTTATTCTTCACCTCTCTCAATCATTTCCCCCATTCCTTTTCTCTCCACAGTGAAGCCATCCAAGCCCAGGTGCTACGCTGAAGGCCCCACACAGGAAGGCAAAGACATAGTGCTGAGGTGCAAATCCAACGAGGGCACCAACCCCCTGCAATATAGCTGGGACAAGACCAGCGGCGGCAAGCTGCTGCCCAGCTCCGCCGTGTTGGGTAAGCTCTACCAAACAAGTGGAAAATCAGTTTCCGCACACAGATCCTCTTTCTTTGTAACACTGTATATATATATATATTCTTTGATGGGTTCTTTGCCCTCACCACAGATCCAGTGGGAGGCACCGTTAACGTGAGGAACGCATCTGCCGGCGCATCTGGCTCCTACCGCTGCATTGCCAGCAACCGTGTTGGCTCTGAGGAATGCACACTGTACCTCAACGTGACACCTCGTGAGTGCCCAGCTAACTTCACCTTGATGCACTTTCACATTTAAACCTGTTGCTCTGCTGTCTGATGGTCAGCTGGATAATGTGTTTGCTGCACTCAAAAAGCTGCACATAGGCAGCAGTACTTTGAGCTAAATGTATCATCAGCATGCTTTAGCAGGTATAATGTTTACCGATTTAACCGTCTTGCATGCTAGTATTTGCTGCCTGAAAGCGCAAACTACAGCTGAGCCGTACAGAAGTATTGTATCAAGAGTCTTGATTTATCCAAAAGTCAAAAACCTAAAACATTTTATTATTAAACAGAAATGTTTACATTTAATATAATTCTTCGAAAAAAACTATAAATTCTCAGAATTAAAATGTGGGAGCCGTCAAATGTTTTATAAATCAATTGACTAATCAATGTAGCCCTAGATGCGATATTTAAGTCTGGTTGAAAGTGTTGGGCCTATCAACAGACTGCCATGTTATTACCATGAAGCCATCCCACTAATATGGCTAGGAATGTACACCTCTCTCTTCCTGTGACTGTACCAGTGGTACATGTATCAGTGCTAGCAAGTGTACAGCCTAAGCTCAACTGTGTTCAATATTTACTCCCCCACAAACAGTCACTTCAGTAAAATCCTACTGCTGTTCCCTCATTAGGCTAAGCATATAGTTGCTCAATGGTAAAACCACCTGAACACATGATCAAAGAAGCACTTTGTCTTAGGAGATAATCAGCAGTATACTGTATTTTAGTTATTTTGTAGGAGGCAGACCCATATATCAAGTCATTGCTACCCTAGTGACATTAAGCAAACATAAACCCTTTCCTTCCTTGTCACCCAGCCCCCAACACTGCAGGCATCATCGCAGGGGCCATTATTGCTGTCCTCCTGTTCCTCATCATCATCGCCATCATCCTCTTCTGCTGCTGCCGTGCCCGTCACAGGAAGAAGTACGAGAAGGAGATCTGCAATGAAATAAGGTACATTCACTAAAACGTCAATGACACCCCGCTAGGGCTGCACGGTATTGAAAAAAAACTGACATCGCGGTTTTCCCCCCCCCTGCGGTATATATTGCGGTTTTTTTTAACCTGTTAAACCCCAAAGTCTCGGCGGGTACTTTACTTTTTTTTTTTCACGACAGTGTCTCAGGGGATCGTAATATTTAAGAACCTATTAATGTGTTATACCAGATTAATGGAAATAATCTCAGCTAACTGACGATACAAACCATTTTATACCAAAACAAAACACAAGTCTCATAAGAAGCATCTAAATGACCCCTGAGCGAAAAATGCTAACGCACTTTGGCACAGAACTAAAGATAAAAGTATCCTTATTATTACTTATCGTAGCTGCACTTACAAGATATCCGATTAAAGCTGAGGTTCCACAGATTATTTAGGTATATAGTATCATCACTGAGTGATCTGAACTCGGACAGGGGAAGCAAACGCAGACATCACAACACGTACCTTTACGTAGCTTCGAGGGGAGATGTCTCACCGTAGCTGTCAATCTGATCAAAAGACGTGTTCAATGGCATTAAAACGCGGCTGAATCGGTTAATCCATAGGTTTTTAACGTCTCTGTATAAAAAAATGATTTAATTTATAATCCATAATTCCATTTTTATGTAAATATCGCAGAGCAAAAGTTAGCTGCTAATGGTAGCCACCAGAGTGGCTGCTGCTTCCGGTCTTGGCTATGCGGAAGTCTCTCACACACACATTACCAAATAAGGACTGTGATTTCCCCTCGATTCCATTGGCTCTGACGGTCAGAAAGAGATGTCACATGTCAAAATCCAGCAAGGTGGGCCAGAGATATGGAAAATCCACCCAAATGGCCCCAAAAGAGGGTTTTTTGTTGTGCTAAATCTGTCTAAAAAGGTCAATATCAGGGGAAGTTCTACACACACCAACACATGAACAAATAAGGACTGAGAGTGACGACGCGTAGCCAAAACCGGAAGCTGCATACCACCAAGGTGGCTACCATTAGCAGCTAACTTTTGTGATCCGATTTTTACATAAAAATGGAATTATGGATTATAAACAATTGCTTCAAAGCCACAGATACATTATCAACCTATGGATCAACCGATTCAGCCGCGTTTTTTCTTTCTCGTTTTAATGCCATTGAACACGTCTTTTGATCAGATTGACAGCTACGGTGAGACGATCTCCCGTAAAAGCTCCGTAAAAGGTACGTGTTGTGATGTCTGTGTTTGCTTCCCCTGTTGCGAGATCGGATCGCTTGGATACTATACTTAAATAATCTGTGGAGTCTCAGCTTTAATCGGATATATTGTATGTGCAGTTTCGATAAGTAATAAGGGTATCTTTATTTTGAATTATGTGCTAAAGTGCGTTAGCATTTAAAAAAATTCAAAAAAAAAGAATAAAACTGCACGTCCCTGCGGTGTGAATACCGCGCATGCGCATACCGCGGTTATCGCCATGACACGGTATATCGTTCAGCCCTACACCCCGCACAGATACCTGAAGCTCCATTTTGATGGAAGTACATTTTCTAACACTGTGTAGACTTTGTTATACAAGAAATGTGTGTTTGGTTGTTTAATACTGGATCAAATGCAAGCCCAAAAAAGGCCATTGGTAATATACGCAATATATCGTTTCAGCTTTTATAGCACAAACTTGTTAATAGATCAAGTCTCTTTATATTGCATTCAAATTGCACTAGGTTAATTAAAAAACCATTTAGGAGAACATTTTTATGATCCATAAATATATTGTATTGGAGAAAATCCACTATATTTTCAATTTGAATTTCCACTATAGTGAAGCCAAAGTTACTGGTGATTATTACTGTCAGCTCTTCATGTAGTATGACCTGCAGTCAACTTGAACGAACGCACACTCGCCCTTGCACTAATGCAACAACACGTCTCCAACAGCCATGAAAATGTTTTTTCTCCATCAGCGTTTTCCTTTTTTGAACCCCTCCTCAAATAAACAGCTGTGGTAATCAGTTTGAAAGCTTTGTTTGCTCTGTGGATCCTGTGTAATGTCTGCTGCTGGCTGCCCCCCGGCAACCCTCCAGAGCCACCTACCCTAACCCCCCCTCACCATCCAACTGTCCATCCAGCCCACGGCTCAGCTCAACCCCCGGGCTTACTATCACTCTGCTACGGACTGAATCTGTCTGAGACCACAATGTGACACTGGCGCTGTAGGACAAAGAGGATTAGACCTGTCCTGTCTCATACACACCACACACACACACACACACACACAACACACACCACACACACACACACACCAACACACACACACAACACACACAACACACACAACACACACACAACACACACACACACACACACACACACACCACACACAACACACACACACACACACCCACACACACACACACACACACACACACACACACACACACACACACACACACCATTCACTGAAACACCACCACATGAAGCTATGGACTAAACAAGCTCCAGCCCCTCAGGCTCAGTTTGATTGAGCATTTAACTGGATTATTGCTGCTTATTAGTTGTTAATGTGGTGGCAGAGGGAGACCAGGGCATCGCTGTGCTGGGATGTTCAACTCTGTCTCTACAGGCTATTACTGTAATAATAATAATAATAATAATAATAATAATTGGAGTTGTCCTATGATTGGCTGGGGCACTGCACACCGCCCCAGCCAATCATAGGCCAACTCCAATTATTTGTCCCTCCTTTATCGAGTCAAATTATGTTTCGCTCTTGAAATGACTCATGCAGACTTCTTTAGTATTCATTGTTTTCCCCTCCGTTGGGCAAATCGTTCCAAAAATCCCCCCCCCCCCTTTTATTCCTGTCCATCATCAAACTTCCTTTGGTTTATAGCACCTGAGAGAATCATTTCTCACATTAATGTTCTCTAAATGGCTAGGGCTCCATGAGGAATAACAGGAATGCAATGGAAATGTAGTTCTTTGCACATGCTGTATTTACCATGTCATGCAGATATAAGTACACATTTAGAAATATACTGTATAAGCAAACATAATCCATTCATTAAAAATACAACATTACCTTGCACTAAACTGCTTTTTGCACTGCTGGTTATTAAGTTGTTTGTTTCAGTACAAGTATTCTGTGCAATGACAATGAAAAGTCATTCAAAAAGAAAAGAAAAACATTGTTGTCTAAATGTACTGCTGTCTTTTCCTTTCAGAGAGGACGTGCCGCCTCCTAAGAGTCGTGCTTCAACGGCGCGCAGCTTCACCGTGGGCAGCCAGCGCTCCTCCCTGGGCTCCATGTCGCCCTCCAACCTGCACGAGTACGCCCTGAAGCCCCAGTACGACAAGATCCCATCAGATGAGTACGAGAGGCCTCCCAGCTCGGTCCCTCTGCCCCCACCCACTGCTACCAGGATGGCAGGCCCCAACCTCAGCCGCATGGGGGGCATCCCCGTCATGATCCCTGCCCAGAACAGGGACGGCTCTATTGTCTAGCATGTCCAATTCTCCAGGGGGGGCCATGCGAGGGGATGGGGACGGAGGAGGGAGTGGGACATAGCCAATGAAGACGGAGCAAGAGCTGGGGTGGACTGACTCGCCTGACTTAAGCTCAACATTGATTACAAACGGGAGTTTATCTTCTTATGAAGACCTGGCTCTGCTGTGGTGCTGAAGAGAGAAAATTGAGATTTACTGGAATCACAACAGAGCACATTAACTTTTTATCAAATAGAAATACGTAAAAAAATGAAAGGAATTTTACTTCCTGGACTTTCTCACTGAAACATGAATTAGTGTGGATTTTAAGCAAAACGGTCAATATACAAATTATATTGTACATAAGTGAATGCATGTTTTGTTTTTTTAAATATAGATGGCCCTTGCTGTAGAGATACTTAGTGTTGAAATCAGATTGAGGCCCCTAATTGTCCCTCTGTACAGCTGTATGCATGCACGTATGTATATAACTGCAGCTGTATGTGTGTGTGAATATAAGTGTATGTTTCTGAATGGGAGTTTGAGAAATGTATTGTTCATTTATCGTCTTTTTTTTAAATAACTCCATAACAGTAAGATCATTTTGTCAGGCAATCTTTAAGTTTTTGACATTTTTAATTCCATTGGTAAACAGGATTGTTGACCTTTTAGAGAAATTGAAGGATGAATTTTTAGAAGGAAAAATAAGTATATTTATGACAGCCATTTTCTGTTAAACAGTATGCTGTTTTGAATTGTCCAGGGTGGTGGGGAGGGGCACACAGGATTAGCTGTTGGTGAGGGGTAGGTACCACCACATCTTGTGATTGGGTGGATTATTGCCTCTTGACGAAGCTTAAGAAACAATAAAAGAGCGCCATCCCTCCTCCTGAGATCTTAGAGGAGGTAGTGTAAAGGAGGGGAATAAGAGGGGCAGCTGGACAACAGGCTACACTGAGCAATCTGCTTTGATTGTGTTTGACTGTCAATAGGCCCTAACCCCTGCCACCACCGCAACATGTATCCCACACACACACACACACACACACACACACACACACACACACACACACACACACACACACACACACACACACACACACGAGCATCAAGTCTTAATTCATTATCTGCATGATCAGCCCCCCCCTCCCCCACATGTCCAGCATATGCAATTCTCATTTGCAGTTGCATTACAAGGAGCCGATATCGGGATTAACCTTCTCTCTGTGGTCAATGTGAAACCTTTCACGGCTTCTGTAGCATTAATTGGACTTTATAATGAAGGAAGTGAAGCCTGCCGACGTGAAGAAAGTGCCCACAAAGAGGAACAAATGAGAAAAGCCTTAGAATGCTGGATATTACTGCTCTGCATTCACTTTACAACCACTTTGGTTTGAGTTCATTGTGCAGTTCAGCGCTGGATAATCCAAACGCTCGTTCAGTCCGTCAGTCAGCGCAAGTTGCCATAACTCGCAGTTATTATCTCAAACCATGCCCATTCTTCCATCGTTTGCTTACATATTTTGGAAGCCTAACTTCTCAACTTAAAAAACCAGTATGGGTACTTGGATGGGGCAATCTGTGTTTTAAATGCCTTGTTTTATTCTTTATTGCAGCCTTACACACCTCCCTCAGTTCTGCTCTGCACAGCCCTAACAGCTGGATTCAGATAACTTCTATTGTGCCTTGTTGCCCCAGTTGAGTTGAGCCATAGCACGCCCGCCTATATGCGCTGTGCAGAAGTTTCCTCCGAGTGGCCGTCATAGCCCACAGTCACTAAAACAATATAATATTCAGCACACAATGAGCCTATTTTTTTAGTTTTCCACAATCCACCTACTGTTCACAAATCCCACATAGCGTAAAGCTTGGATTCTATATTCCTAACAGAACTTCATGTTATGTTTAGTTTTATAACTTTAAGTACATTTTACGTGCTTCTAAACGACAAACATTACATATATAAATATCCTGTTGGAGTTACCCTATCTAATCATAACACAGTTGAATGATATAAAAACGATGTTTGTATGTGATACTCTGCCGTGCCGTGCTTGGCAAATCTATCTATCTGAAACAAGAGAAGGGTCAGTGTGGGTCTTGACAGTACAGTATGAATGCTCCTTAGTATGAGTGAGTGACCTCTACGTTTTTTTGTGTATATTCTGGGATCTAAGGGGAGCTGACAGTTGTAGAAACATCTTGGCACTGGTACTTCCCGGTAGATTTGTTGTCACACCTATTTTCTAACACCAAGGAAAGTGAGACCCGGGCCTGCCCAGACAAAGAAACTACATCGGTCAGTTTCTCTTTTACACTAATGTGTGTGTGATAGCAAGTGAATTGTACATGAAGGAGTTTGTTGTCAGGATGGGCCCCTGTAAAATGTAGTTAGGCTTTCACCTGCTGACAAACTGTACTGAGTTGTTAGGGCGATGGTCCTGTTACTGTCCCCTATGTGCTCACATTAACTACTAACAATATAAACTGTAGCTTTGAAATCAGAGTACTAATATTGTATGAAGATCTCCTTTGAGGTTTGCACACCGTGTGGAAACCATTTTTTTTCTTTTCTGTGTGTATTTTTTGTGCTGTATTTTTGAATAATAAAAGTCCTTGAAATTAAGAAAGAATAGCCAGCCATGTTTGTTTGTTTACTGAAGCAGTTGCAGCTTTGTTGACTTGAGCGTGAATAAAACTCAATTTATCTCCTCTCCAGCGGCGCGTGTTCTCCTGGGACTCGGCTTCCTGCAGCTTTTTGACTGATTAATTTTAATCAGCCATTGAATTCCACCCCTCACACCAGGTGGGGTGACTTTCTAACGGCTTAATGATTGTAATTAATCAATTAAGCCAGCCTCCTGCCTCCAATACTCACCATTCAGCTTCAGGGTAAACATGCAAAGGTTTGTGACATGGCTCGCCTACCAGCACTGTTAATATTCTATACACCGTTTCAACATAATTGCATTGCTAGGCAACTGCTTCATGACTACTTCCTGTCTGCTGATGTCAATCAGCAGTGTATTCGATTGAGTCAATCGCATACACTGCAACAGGAAATAAACTGGGACACATAGATTGTTTAACAGTGTGCAAGGCTCTATATATAGGCTTTATATTGTTTATATACAGGCTTCTTACTGACATACAGCCACTCCCCTGCCACACTGTATTGTCCCTTAGCATCATGGCCATTTGTGTCAACATTTGTCTGGCTTTTTTTTCAATTACAACCAATTACCCCTCTTAGTTAAATTGGTGGGTAATTACTTTCATTGCAAGCCAGCACTAATCAAAGTTGTACAAAATTAGCCTTCTTATTAAGCTTGCTGAATGGTGGGAAATGCCTAGTTAATGAGTGAGGGGCAGATCATGCACATGTTGGTGTTCCCTGTTCCTGTCGCCTTCCTCACACTCTACACTTAAATACATGCTGGTTATCTTGACATGTGGATAGATCGATTATCAGCCAATAGCTCCACTGTGTGCAGGCTGCTGACAGGTAGTCAATAAAAAGACTAAAGCACTTAGTAGCAGTGCTAAGCGGACGTCCATTGCTATAATTGGATGTCAGTAATAGATAGGGCCCCAGAGCATTGATCTGTGGCCAGTCTGAGTCCCTGTGGATTCTAATGGCTCCCCAGCAGCTCTGCACATCAGGGGTTCACTTCTGCGCGGGTCTGTTCAGCTGCAGTGATACTACCTGCACAATTACAACCTCCCTACAAATGGATGTGGCGGGGTATTATGGCACGTTTATGGTCCTGCATTCAAAACATTCATTAAAAGGATATTAGCGATATGTGCTACTTCCTGTGTGCAGATTAGATTTATGGACTGTTATGGCTGTTACATTACATGTTAGACGCTTTTATCCAAAGCGACGTACATACTCAATACTGTGGACAATCCCCACTGGAGCAATTTGGGGTGAAGTATCTTGCCCAGGGACACAACGAGATGCTGACTGCAGTGGGGTTTGAACCTGTGAACTCCTGACCCCAACACCAAGGCTCTATCCACTGCGCCACACGCCTCCCACTCTCATTGAATTAATGTACAATGAATCATACATCATCCCTCAGTGTCTTCCAGCCCAATATCCATTTGTGGTATTATTATTTGTTACCTCATGTCCTCATTCACGTAGCTGAAGGGAGAGAGTGAGTGCTAAGCACCTGGGGATTTGTGCCTGCCTCCCACTTCCCCGGCTCCCTCCCTTCTGCCTGGGTAAGGTATTAATTGTTTGCACAGATCAAGGAGGTTGGTATGGCAAAAGAAAAGCTCATTGGTTCTCCAGAAGGGTTTCCTTGGCAACCTTATCTGGTTGTACACAGTCTAAGCCGGCTGCTAGCGGAATGATTTATCTTGTTAAGCGTGATTCGCTCCCTGCTAACAAAAGAGACCTCTAAAAGCATGGGTCTCATGAAAGTCGCTCTCTTCCAGTATGATGTCTGCTGTCACAGACGTTAAGCTTTCTGCCATTTTTAGAAACCTCAGCCAGGTTGGGAGCGGGTTGCAGGGGGAATTCTGGGTAGGATAGAGGAAGATGCATATGTATGAAGGGCGGGCTCCATCATCTCCGTTGGCACAGCAGTACATTAACATTTTTGGCTCGGCACTCATAGCACTCTGAATGTGTAATATGACACAGATTATGATGTGATTGTAAGCTTTTGCAGCTACATTGGATAATTGACTGGGTAGCAAGAGCTATTTTTGGACCTGGTCCCTCTATTTTATCTTACAGCAGTATTTAGATGGATGCAGTAATCTTGGAATAATTCGAAAAGCCATTCATTTGGGTGTAAAATTATCTTTATCTTTCTTTTCAGCATTCTTGTAGTAGGATAGGATTGTTTGGATTGTTTGAAGAGGGGTTGAATGAGGTACTTATCCTTAGCCAGGAGATGGTGGTTGGCACACCCCCAGTTTAGAGAAACAAAAAGGAATATTGGCACAGAAGCTGAACAGTGTACTGCTGTGGATTGGGGCAGCATCTAAATGTATTTAGCCATCTAAAACATACAGATATCAAGCTATATTTTTGAATTATTTAACTATGATAACCATCTACTTTTATGTGCTCTCACCAAAGATACCATTGAGTCCATTGATAATAACCTTATTTAACCTTGTCGAACACAGGCATTTCTGGCATGGACTGACTAGAATACGGTGTGTAATCTCTGTGATGTTGCCCACAGGTTTCTGAAGAGATGTTGTCAAGCTTAAAGTGGGCACCGAGCAGACAGCTAGTAGCAACCCTGAAATAGCACCCATAAGTCATTCAAAGTGGCCATGCCCTTAATTATGCACAACGTTATGCCTGAATATGAGGCATGAGTTAAAAACAAATTTGGTACTTCCGCTTTATTTATCAGCACTAGATGTTGCTACATTGCAGGTCTGGTGCTGCTTCGATTGGTTAGTTGCTTGTGTTATTCGGAGACTTGGGTGATTCCAAAACCCTGTTAAACACCAAAGTATACAATCTAACCACTCAAGGCAGCGGTAGACCTGCAGCTTTGGCGAGAGAATGGAACAAGGGCTGTCTGATTACTAGTTTAGGTTGTAAGAATATTTAAATATTAAATATAGTGTTTACTTTTACAGATATTGATTTGTTTCAGATGGCTAAAATCCTTTTTACTGCAGCCCCTCAATACATCAATACTGCTTCTGTGCTGCTAGTCATTTTTGCTCCAAGCTATAGGTTATAAACTGACATACAACCCCACTTAGAGCAATCCGAAATATCCCTTTAATGATCATAATATTATTATAACACATGTGGGAGGCTGAGCAGGCAAATACATGTGTAGTTATTTTAATATTGTAACCAGTCTGTGTTGTTAAATGAAAGCTGACAGTCTGATCTTTAAATGCACAGTCACTGTGCCATGTGAAATTAAAAGGAATCGGAGAAGGAGGCACAAAATCAATGTGTCACCATGCAAACACTCACGGCACTCAACCTTACATCGCCTTAAACAACCTGCATGTTGTGGCTGGAGACAGGGGAGGATATTCTGCAGAGAGGGAGTTGAGTTCAACCTGAGCCAATCTTCCCACTTTGTCTGCTACGCCTGCAGACAGCCCAGATTTCTCAGGAGGCCTACCCAGCTGCTGTGCACTTACTTGTCAGTCCTCCCCATCTCCCGGCCTGGGTGGAGTGGAGCTCTAGCACAGCATCCGACATCCCTCCCTCCCCACCTCTCCTGTCCTTCCTTTGGTCGATATGGAGTCATCTGTTAAGGGCCAACCTCTACGCCTGCTGCATCTCAGCATCGTTTTGGGTCACTATTTCGACCCTTCGCTGCTCACATGTCTATGACTAATATGTGACTTTTGATGGATGACCTTCCCCTCTGTGCTCTAGGGAGAAGTAGGTTGTGGCTGTGGATGCATGCTGAGATTAGACTCAGTCCAAGAACATCATGTTATATCAAGATCCCCCTCTCTCTGACGAGTCTTTGTCTGGAGAGTTTCATGGATCAGTGAGATGACGCACATCAGCAAATGTGACACTTTATTCACATTGCGTGTAGCGTGAGTAAAAGAGAGAGCAGCACTTGGCTCCTTACCACAGGAGACACCCCGCTTGTGGGGAAATTAACATCTTCAGAGATGCTCCCCCACCTGCTGCCATATGCTGCTGGAGAAGAGAGGAGAATACAAGAAGGTTCAGAGGCAGGACATTCGGTTCAATATCTCTCACTGATATACTGTAGTCTACACTCTCACTTCCTTTGATCTTTTCTTATCTTCTTCTCATCATTTAAGATGAGAGATTAGAACCAGAGGAGCACCTTGGTTTAAGACCAAGATGGAGGTTACACAGTGCAACTCCACTCAGTCGTTTACAATGTGATTTGTACTTTTAATCTGCACCTCGGCTGGACTCTATTATAGGTGATCATCCTCCAATGCCATGTCATCAAGAAGGTGCAATGGAGGCAAGCAATAAAATGTAGCCTTGGCAAGGGAATGGGGCTGAGTTTCCCTTTTTTCTCCCTCTGATGATTGGGGTCATCTCTATTATTACCACAGTGATGTCAGAGATATATCGAATGTGTGTCTTCCAGTGTCTCCGTGTATGTGTTCATACGTGTTAGTGCTGTCCGTGTGTATGTGTCAGTAGCATTACCCTTAGTGGCGATTTAACAGGATGGGGCAATCCCTTTTCCTTCAGCAGAGCAACCACCCCCCCTATCTCAGGCTATTTTCAGCTCAGAAATTAGACAATGTTTCTCTTCATGCTGGACACGTACTTCAGGCCACCTTCACAGACTGAATCCTCCCCTCCATGCAGCACTCCAGATGTCACAGGTGCAGCATGAGATTGAAGCTTGGTACTGGGTTTGGAAGTACAAAAGAGAATGGGATAAAGTGTTGAAAGAGGGCTCACATTAATTTCTAGGAAATTTGCTCAGTGGTGCATAAAGCCAAACATTTTCACTGCCGAGTAGGCTATACATTTGCCCGGAAATGTAATTTTCTGGTTATTCATCATTGTGCAATTCCCATTAAAAATGGATTTTGTATTGCCAGGAATTAAAGCAAACACTATTCTCACTTAAACAAACTACATATAATAGAACAAATAGAATATTATTAATTTTGA